GACAGAAACAAGTTCCCTGTGTCATCCACAAAGTACCAAACACTTCATCTCTTGGCTAAAATAAGTAACTACTGTTTCTTCACCAATGATTGCTTCATCCTCATTCTAGTCTCCTCTCCTTTCAGATAAGGTTTACTGCTTGATTTCTACCAAATCATAGAAATCGGGGGTACTGCTAACAGCATCCAATCTAGACCAAACCCAACTTTCCTGGATCCTCCCACCAATTACACAACCAAAGTCCAAATCCTGTAATAGGTTCTTTCTAAAGCCTCCTTACAGAGAGAGATGCCATGCATGTGTTCTCCCTCATTAGTAAGTACTAAACCTAATGTGTTCAACTACAGGGGTGTCCCTAGTGGTCTTTAGCAGAAAGGCATTGACAGTGCCCAGAAAATATTTGTTGAATGAAGGAAGGAAGGAGGGAAGGAAGGAAGGAAGGAAGGAAGGAAGGAAGGAAGGAAGGAAGGAAGGAAGGAAGGATTATCCTATGAATATAATGTTCTTAACCCAACATTCACTGATTAAATACATTGCCATCTACTCAGTTAAGTATTCTAAATTTAATGGGAGCTCTAAAGCATTTATCTCCACTTTATAAGGTTCACTTAATCAAGTTCTTATTGAAATTTAGTTTTAATCCAGTCTCTCTCCAGAACTGTAGTTAATAAATCTATGAAAAAATTAGACCAAAAGATGCCTGTCCATTTCTTCAGGGTATAAAGGTATCTCGGCCTTTCCTTTATCTGGTATGAATCAACACTGCTTAGAAAGGATATACACCTCCAAAGTAAATGTCACTTCAGGATTAAACTTAGTAGAGGCTGAACACACACACATACACACACACACACGCCACACCCTATTCATTCTATCAGCTTCAGAGCTTAGGTATATTGAACACGGTGCTCTGAAATCAGGATCTACACTCTGATCTTTATGACAATTATAACCTTAGAGAGCTATATGTACATTCAAAGTTTATTTGACGATTAATTATGTGTCTGCTATAAACAATCCTGGAATTACAGTTAATACAATGAAGTAAAGAACCTATTGCCCATTTACTCAAGGAACTGAGAATGTGCATGAGGAGATGTCAGGTTCTAAATCATGATTCAGTGCAAGGATTTCAATTTTCATTTATCCATGAGAAGTGAACACAAAAATAACGACTTAAATTTACCTCATCTATGTCAAAGAAAGTATATTCTCTAAGCTTTAAGGGGAAAATATTCTGCTCCTTGTCTCTCCCTAATCCTGCCCTGGCAGATATGTTGGTTCAAGTGCTGACAGCCTGTGCACATGGTCAACCAAACAGATGCCTAAGAATAGCACAGGAAAGGATATACTTGACTAGAGTTAATGACAATCACTGCATTCTTAGGAAAAGGCTCTGGGGGTTGTCTTATCCATAAACAAAGAGCAAACTGGATTTATGTGCTCAATACTTTCAGGACGTTCTCAATACATGCCGGTTGTTTGATTCATTTCAACGGAATAAGGTCACATCAGTGTCCTCTGCATGAAAAGGCACTTATTATCTACTTCCATTGGGTCCTATGCTGTGTTGTAATGCCAAGCAAACAGGTTTTCTGCAACTTGGAAATCTTTGACACTGATCCAGAATGTTGATATAGGACAAGTTAAACAGAGTACAGACAGCTGAGCAAATATTAAAGAAGTCTATGAATTAATAAATAATATTAAAATTTTGTACAAGTAGAGTGAGTACATAAGTTTAACTGGGAATGTTGGCAAGAAACCTTGATGAATGTTTGCCTGGACTAGGTAAGGCCATGGAGAATTCACAACCTTTTCAGTAATTAATCATCATGCAATCTAGCAGGCTGTTAAAATAAATCTGGTTTCCCACACCAGTCTTCCCCACTAGACCTGTTTTGGAGACTTGGAATTTCCCCAAAAAGCCAAGGTCCTATGAGCATTCTCAGAAGATGTCAATTATTCGCTGTTGGCTAAAGACAGTACCTCTAGCAGCTCTAAACCTTTTTCAAATTAAGTGAATAAAACTAGTTTTATTAGTCTTAATAAAAAGTAGTATTTTGGTTTCCTTCTTTGCTTCAACCAAGCAATCAATCAGAAATAATATTTGTAAAACATTCTCTTTTCCTGCATACCTCTTTTGAGGTATTAACCTCACAACAGATCTGGTGAAGAAGATGTTATTAATATACTCATTTTACAGAGCTGAAGAGGAATGAAGTAAATTTCCTGTATCCTAAGGGTGCAAATGCTCCTTAATATTTCCCTGTAAAATATTTTAAGATTAAGCTTATAATAGATAGCAAGGACTTTGAAGATCTTACTATTAAAATAATAATCTATAATTATCTATTATCTATAATAAGATCTTATTTTTATTAAAATACTTTATAACTAAGGTGTACTATCAATCAACAAAAATTATTTAGCGGCAAGTCCAATGATATATATCTATGCACAGAATTAAATAATTGTCTTTGGCCTCAGAAAGTTTACATCCCATTTAAAAGGCAAGTTTGTGAATGTTCTGTGAACCCTTAGAGACATAAAGAATAATGAGAACTGGCCTGGTCAGAGAAGGCTCAGCCAAGATGAAATCCAAGTGAAAGTGGGAAGGATGCCATGGCTGTGGCTAAGAAGAGGAAGCAAGGGCAGTGGGGAGAGGGTAAAGGAGCCCATGACAAGGCAAGAGTGTGTTCATGTGGAAATCAGGAGATTAGTCAGAGAAGTGGCAAATGTATTCATGCAGCATTTAGCACCAGACCTTGAATATAAGAAGCACATAGGAAAGAAAAAGATGAAAAGTAAAGCTGAGTCTCAAGCAGTGAACAGTCATTCCCTCATCTATCAATCAGATAATCGCTGCTTCTTCTGCAGAAGGCAGAAATGTCTTCCCAGTACTTCCTCAAGAAAATAAAACTGTCAGCACAAGTTCCTATTTTTTCAGGAGAAGTTCTAATATTTTTTCGATCTTATGACAAAGGCAGTCATTGAAAATTTTCGAGTAGGAATTTCAATTTAATTTTAATTGAATTGAAATTTAATTTTGAAAGGAAAATGAATCTGGCTGTATGAGACTTAGGTAAGAGTCATGGGAGAATGACGGTGAAAATAGTTAGAACTCAGGTGCACGATGCAGGTAACAGAAAATGAGACCCAGGAGGGAAATTTTGAGTGAGAAAGAGAAAAATAGTCACATAAAAGAGTAACTACATAGCTCAAAGTATTAGGATGCAATGATCGATAAGATGAAAAAGGGACGAAAATATACCAGATTTTACTCTATGATTTAAAAAAAATTTTTTAATGTTTATTATTTTTGAGAGAGAGACAGAGAGCAAGCAGGGAAGGGGCAGAGAGAGAGAGGGAGGCACAGAATCAAAGCAGGCTCCAGGCTGTGAGCTGTCAGCACAGAGCCTGATGCGGGGCTTAAAGTCACAGACCACGAGATCATGACCTGAGCTGTAGTCGGCCACCCAACCAACTGAGCCACCCAGGCACCCCTACTCTATGATTTAAAATCAGAGGAACTCTGAGGAAACATTGTAGTGACAGAAACAGAGATGAGTGCCAAGGAGGCAGTAGTACAATAATAATAGGACAATATTTTTCCTTCATCCCCTCCCATGTGAATGTGGAACAGCAATTAGTTTTTTGTTGTTTTCCAGCAGTTAACTTTTTATTCTTGTCCTGGAAAAGAGGACTTTCTATCAAAGAAGACAGAAGAAAATGTCTGGAGGTGTTAAGATGTAGCCGGTGTCCTGACCAGAACCCTGACCTCAAACTGAGCTCAACTCAGTTCCAGGACTGAGTTGAGAGTGGGTGGATGGTAGGGAAAACAAAATGACACAATTTGACGCAGGGGCAGGAACAACAAGCTACTGCCCTACTACCGAAGTGGGAGCATGCCTGAAGTTGGTAGTTATCATACAAGACTCTTTCCTTTTCTGCAATGCAATCAATCACCATCACATTTATCTCCAAATACATCAACCCAGTCTCCTGAACTTAGTCAACAAAGAGAACAGTGTCACAAAAAGAGAGGGATAAGGACAAGTGTTTGAAAGGGTTTTTGCAAAGGCTGTTGCCACGTCTTCCAGATGATTATTATCTGGTGGTCCTCCTAAAAATAAATACTAGCATTGAAATGATCTGCACTGGACGGGGTTTCTTTCCTTTTGTTTTGTCAGGGAAAGGGGGGCAGGTAGTGAGTTCTATCCTGGTTTCTGTACATATGGCACGGTTTTACCTAAGTTCAAAAAAATACTTCGAACTCAGTCTAGCTGTTGTATTTTTCCTCGGTGTTGATATCACTTTGTCCCATTCAAAATTTCTAAATAAAACAAAGAGGAATAAGAGCTTAATACACATTGCAAACTATTACCCTTACAACGTGTGTTGCTTGATACATATTTTGGCACGCACACACACACACAGAGGCTGTGAGTTCGTGGCCTTGAATTAATGTCTGCCCCAGATGTTACTTAAGTAAGTTCTCTTAACTTCGACAGCCACCTACCTGCATTTTTAAATCTTGCCCCACAATGTACTACGTTTTCCAAGAGCACACGTCGAGAGAAGCCCATGAAGTGCATTGTGGGAATTGTAGTCCTGGGTGACTTTCTTTTCTTCCCGGCCCTGGACCCACGCTCGGATTCCGGGAGGGTTGAACCCAGGATCTACCAATTAGCTGGGGCCATGTCGGTGAGGCCGTGGTCCTACCGGGAAAGCCCGTGTGGGAACCTCGCAAAATGATTGGTCAATGCATGACCCCGGGGGCGGAGCAATAGGGTGGGCGGGAAGACTGCGACGATTGGGCACGGAGCCCGCGGCGGCGGGCGGGGATTGGCTGCGCACTGGGGCAGGGAGGCCTGGGAAGGGGCGGAGGAAGGAGACCAGAGCAGGAAGAGCAGCGGCGAGGCGGTGGCGGTGGCTGAGTTGGTGGTGGCAGAGGCGAAAGCGACAGCTCCAGGGGGTGGCAGCGGCCGCGAGAGCAGGATGCGAGTCCGGGTTGGGCTGACGCTGCTGCTCTGTGCGGTGCTGCTGGGCTCGGCCTCGGCGTCCTCGGGTTAGTATCCGCCCCCTCGGATTGGAGGCCGGGAGCCACCGCCCCCCGGCCTCCATCCCGGGGCAGGGCCGTGGGGGCTGAAGCTGGAGACTCCACTCTCTCTGGTCACACCTCGCACTAGCCTGTCACTCGTTGTCTTTCCTTGGACTTTGGCTGGCCTGGACTAGAGCGGGTATTTAGGGAGCTAGAGAGGGGAGGGAAAGAAGGGGCGGTCACCCTGCCCACACCTCTCCTCACTTAACAAACTTTAAGCGACTCCTCGCGAATGAGGAATTGACCCTGGAAATGAATCCCAACAGCTGGCTTAGATCCACAGAGGTACCTGAGCCTTTTGGAACTTCCTCGACTCTCATACAGATTATGTGCTTGAGATTTGTAAGTTAAGTAATTGACACACCTGGATCTATCACTGAGCCCTATCACAAGGGCCATCAAAACCAGGATGTTGACAGTGGTTTGGCGGATTTGCTTAGTACCTGAGGTGGTCCCTTGTCTCTTTGTCTATTTAAAAATGAAGACTTTTGATATAATTGTGCCCACTCTCTATCCCTTTTCAGGAAATATTCCTGAGGAAGTGGTGTTTACCTCTGTCACGGTGTTGGAGTTGCCCCATGTTTGTTGACAGTAACTCTATGATTTTTGAGAAAATTTGGTCCCTATAGATTTAAAATGTATAGCAACTCGTTTTCATTTTTTGGATAGATATAGAAATATGCCTTTGACTTGATTTTCCAGTTAGCTGATTGATACTGTGGTTTGGTTTTTATTTTTTAATAGTTCAGTATGCCTACATCTGAAAACTTCTATTTTGAAAATGTTGATAAAGAAACAGTGTTTCTAACTGTTGGTAAAGAAACAATTAGTACAATAAAGCTTTTGAATTTTAATCAGTTTAGTTAACAAGACAGCTGTTCTGTGGCTTTAAATTTTTTTGGAACAAGGCAGGGTATAAATGTCAACTCTTTTTTTTTTTTCAACAGAAAATTTCCCAGATGGTTATTTGAATCCCCAAATTATCTGTCCTAGTTGTAAGTCGATGCCATAACGTCATTCTGTTTCTAAAATGAGAGGTCTAAACCTAAAATTCTATCCATAATGTGGTTTGAGATACCATTTCAAAAGCAACAAGCATATGCTAGTTACTTAACTGCCAACATCATCCTTTAAGGTCTGCCTTATCCCCTTTTAGTGATGGTTTGTATTCATAACCCAATCTTCAAAAACTCTACATAACTCTTGAAGCCCTGCTTGCATTTATTTGACCAAAAGAAGTATGAAATGGAGCTGTTGAGTGTAATGGATAGAGTAACTGATGGACCTCAGACCACTTGCATCGGAATTCCTCTTAGGAGTTTGTTAAACATGCAGTTTTAGGTCTGGAACAGGTCAGCCATCTGTAGTTTAACAAAGTTCACAAGTGATTTCTTCACACTAAAGTATAAGAACTACTTAAGGAACATGGTAAATATTCCTCCGAGTTCAGTCTGCACAATTTAAGGAAAATTAAAGCGTAGAAACATTTTCCTGCATCTTCCATTAAGTTATTTCATATACTTAGAGCTTCATGTCAGTGGAGATGATACTTGAAGAAGTCATTTAAGCAACAGTTGGGATTCTTGGGTAGTTACAATAGTTTATTAAGACTGAAATGTTAAATCTTTGGACTGTGTTGGTGTAAGCAGAGATTTCCATTGTAGTTAAACTGTGCCAGAGCATTTCTCTGGCAGAGGCAAAATCCATGTTTAGCCACAACTAAAACCGTATAGATGTGCGTGCTGACAAACAATAAAGGCAGTACTGTACTCACATGAAGTGCAAATATGGTAAAACACTTGTGTGAGGTAAAGTTTTAGAAATTGAGTACGTGGCTTTTTAGTTGACTTTTTTATTCATTAAATTGCTTATTCATACAGGAAGTCCACCTCATTATTAGTTTAGATTTAAAGATTTGCTCCTATTTAAAACTCAAGTGTTGGGTCATAATTTCTGTTGACTTAAAGTTTGAATATTAGTGGTTACCTAGAGCAAGTTGCATTTATTACCATTTAGAATATAATCGGCCAACAAAGGAAATATCTATCCTGTCACTGTTAGTAGCTATTATTTCATAGTTTGTCTTAGAGGCATATAAAAATATGAAACTTTTATTAGCAATGTTTTCTTTTTCCTGTGAATAAATAAAGGAGGGCATTAAAAAGGCATTTCTCCCTCATTCTCTTGATAATGAAAAATGCTATAATTTTTCTCACTTAGAAATACATGTTTTCTTGGGTTGCCTGGGTGGTTCAGTCAGTTAAGCGTCTGACTTCCTCTCAGGTCATGATCTCACTGTTTGTGGGTTCAAGCCCCGCGTCAGGCTCTGTGTTGACAGCTCAGGGCCCGGAACCTACTGTGAATTCTGTGTCTCCCTCTCTCTGCCCCTCCCCTACTTGTACTCTGTCTCTCAAAAATAAAAACATTAAGGGGCGCCTGGGTGGCGCAGTCGGTTAAGCGTCTGACTTCAGCCAGGTCACGATCTCACGGTCCGTGAGTTCGAGCCCCGCGTCAGGCTCTGGGCTGATGGCTCGGAGCCTGGAGCCTGTTTCCGATTCTGTGTCTCCCTCTCTCTCTGCCCCTCCCCCGTTCATGCTCTGTCTCCGTCTGTCCCATAAATAAATAAAAAAACGTTGAAAAAAAAAAATTAAAAAAAAATAAAATAAAATAAAATAAAAAAATAAAAACATTAAAAAAAAAGAAATACATATTTTCTTATTTTCAACAGGAAGAGATAGTTTACTTTTTTTTCTTTATGCCAACAGTGTTACAGAATCTTTTAAATTAGATCCACTGCTAAGTGTTTCAGATAATAGTTCTATTATCATACTCAAGAGTAAATTTGAGATTGCAGAGGATGTTTAATTTCATTGTTCTTTTGTTCCTTAAAACATTGTGAGTCAACGGGGCAGGTGGTATTACTCTCTCTTGATGCGTTGAGAAAAAGGCTAAGGAAGCTTGCTGTATTGAACCATGTATGTATTAACATGTAATGAAGGCAGGTTTTGAAGCTAGCTCTCCAGGCCTTGATTTGGGAGTAATTAAAATCAGGGGTATTGTAGGATCTGCACAGAATCTGTGGCAAATCAGAGAACAGGATGTCTGCTGTCTTTCGCCAAACTCTTAATACTTTCTATGTTTGAAGGTCCATCAGTCTGTTTAGTTTACATAACAAATTGGAAAATGAATCTGTGATGATTACTTTTCCCTGAAAGAATATCCCTGATACTTTTTGCAGTTTGGTTAGCTGATATAATGAAAATGAAAATTGGTCTTTTTCAGAGGAAGATGTACAATTATTAAAGTAATGTAAACCATTATCTTTTGGATGTGTTGCTATTGAATGAGAAATGTGTAACTCTTCGTTGAATTCTTTTGCATTTTTTTCTTGCTGTCTGTGTTCTGATAAAAGCATTATTATTTTCTTTTTATTTATGCATAACTTCAGTGTCTTTAATTGTTACCTGACTGCTATATGTGAGAAGTTTCTAGATTATAGCAACTTCTATAAAAGTGTTATGTGAATGGATATATCAGTTTGAAAGAGAAAATAGCTTATGCCTTAAGACTACCATCTGGAGTAGTCTTTCCCAGTTTAGTAAATGAGAGAGAGTTCTCTTATTTACCGGTAACTTTAGTATATATTCCTAGTTTGAAGAGAGAAGAGACAGAGAGAGAAGCATGATGCAATTCACGTGAAATAACCCTGATGTCACAAGTTTTCATGTCTCTTGGAGTTCAGAAACACATTTTGCCAGTCAAACGTCTAATAGCTTGTAGTGTCTCAAATGTACATATCTTAAAATTTATTTATAGGTGTCTGTATTATATACCTATTAGCTACGTATGTGACCTGTGTTGAGAAGGTACTAAATTTCATGATTTAGTGATCAGTAATTTAAGAGTTCCAGCTCATCTAAAGTTTCAGTATGTAGGTATATACTGTATATATCTGTGCATTTAATGACTGCTCTTGATATATTAGTTAATGTTTGTGATTAAACACATCCATACATACAACCTTTTTTTTTTTTTTTTTTTAATGTTAATTTTTGAGAGAGAGAGAGAGAAGGAGACAGAGCATGAGCAGGGAAGGGGCAGAGACAGAGGGAGACACAGAATCCAAAGCAGGCTCCAGGCTCTGACTTGTCAGCCCAGCGCCTGATGTGGGGCTCGAACCCGCAAACCGTGAGATCATGCCCTGAATCAAAGTCAGATGCTTAATCCACTGAGCCACCCAGGTGCCCCCATACATACAACTTTAATATATAATGAAGATGAATTTTTTTCTTTATCCAAGATTTGCTGAGAATGGAATTTGAACTGTATGTTAAAACTTGGGCTTTGGGTAAAACTTGTGAAGAAGTTAGCATGAAGGATGATTGTTCATTAACTGGCATCACTACCTAAATGTTATGGGCACTGTGGGACTAATGCATGCTATACCTTCCTCATCCCCACTCATCAGAAAAAAAACATATTTGGAAGGCAGTCTAAAAGTAGTTAATGTGGAAGTAGCTATGGTTTAAGTATGTGAATTGACAGCACTTTTCTTATATGGCAAAACCTCAGTAGTAGACTAGTTTTCTCAAATATTCAAGAGAAATACTGTGAAATAGTGTTGTGTATTTTGTACATAATGAGTTGCTTATACTTCTTAAAGTTAGCTCACTACTTTGATAATACAAACCCCAAAGCATGTTTTTGTTAGTCTTGAAAGAGTTGCAAGTTATGAATAATATTTAGGGTGTAACCATATGAAGTAAAGATAAATGACAACCAGAACACCAAATTTCCTGGTAAAAAGCACATGGTTTTATAGCATTTTGTCTGCTGGTTAATTTCCCATATAACTTACAGAGCAGGCAATACTGAAGCTCACTCCTGGATAAAATCAGGTAATTTTAAGACTAAGAAGGCAACTTAGAGATCATGTGGCAGTTGTTTTTAAACTGGCCAGGAATACAAAGATCAAACACATGCATATGGACACTGGTTTGTTGAATGTGTTTGTATAAGATCAGAAAAAAGAATGACAAGTTGCCAGAATAGAAGTTATAGGAAAGCACAAAAGGAGGAATAGAAGGAAGGTTAACATAATTGGACAAAGCCAAAGCAGCAGATAGGAGTTTGGAAGAAAGGTGTAACCAGGGTCTGGATTCATTGTTTATTTAATAAGAGATCTTAATTTCTTAATAAGAAACATGATGGTTTGATGCTACTTTTTATTTGTATCTGGTTATATCCTGAATAGAGTAGAACACAAATCCTAAATATCTTAGTCTGGCAATTCTACTGTCACATAATAATAATTCTTAGTGTCCATTTTTAGTAGTCTCAGTGAACAGTAAGATGCTAATCAGTACTAAGATAAGCTATGTAATTCCAGATTCTGATCAGAGGAAAATAATAGGTAGTATCCTGAACCACAAAATCAGAGATTGATTTTTATAAATTTAGTAACACATTCTTAGTAGTAGACTTAATATGTACAGAAGAATTGGATGGTTATGTGCAGAAGTGTCTGGTCTTGGTGGTGGTAGAGGTAGCTGGTCTTCCTGCCTGTATAACAGATGGAGCTGCCGTTGTGCCCGGGGAGAGAAGAAGGACCACTCCAGCCAGCCCCTTGTTTTGCTTTCACCTAGTATTTTCTGAGCAGTTGCTGAACACAAGCAATTTTTAGGTAATTCTAGGTGTATTTATCAAGTGTCTGATTATTATTTGTTGTACTTATTAAGTGCTTTAATAATACCTGCAATTTTCCAGCAAGAAGGATAACTAAAATTGTCTTAAAATTTCTTTACAGATGAGGAAGGCAGTCAAGATGAATCCTTAGATTCCAAGGTGTGTACTAAAATTCGCATTGACCAGTACTTAATGCCCAATTTAAAAGTATGAATTCATGTATCTTAAAAAGGATATGAAATCTGCATCTTTTGAGCATAGAATTGGGTTAAGAAAAACATAGCTGATATTCAATGTACTAGTTCTTCCGGAGGGGGGGGAGGGTAGGAATCACTGACCTGTAGGAAGGAGAATAATAAATACTGTGTTTTCATTCACAGTGTTGATTATTAGGTTTAATTTTAAATTAAATGTGCTGTGTAAGAGCCTGAAGGCAGTAACATTTTTTTTTTAACGTTTATTTATTTTTGAGACAGAGAGAGAGCATGAACGGGGGAAGGTGAGAGAGAGAGGGAGACACAGAATCTGAAACAGGCTCCAGGCTCTGAGCTGTCAGCACAGAGCCCGACACGGGGCTCGAACTTGCGGACCCCGAGATCATGACCAGAGCCAAAGTCGAGCGCTTAATCGACTGAGCCACCCAAGCGCCCCAAGGCAGTAACACTTTTCCTGCCTAATGAGAGATTGATTTTATTTCTGTTTTTTTTTTAAGTTTTTTTAATTTTGAAGGGTTAACCTCTGCCATTTGTTTCCACTTATATATCAATTTTTATACATCTGTTGAGCTAAATTGGTTGATTGAGTGAATAAGGCTGATTATTATGTATCCAAGGAAACCATGCAGTTATGATCTCTGATCTCTAGATTTGAGGAAACACAGATAAGAATCAGAAAGTTGTAGTACAGGGCTAGCATAAGGGGAAGTATAAGAGATGTTGGGAATTTATAGGGAAAGACCCTAATCCAGACTTCAGGAATTAAGGAAGGCTTCCTGGGGGAAGTAACATTTAAGTTGAAATTGGAAGAGTCAGGTTAGGCAAGTGATGAAGGCGTGTGATGAATACATACCACAGTGGTATGTACTCAGAGTTTAGAGAGACGACCAGCTCCTTCACAGCTGAAGGAGATGTATCTGGATTAATAAAAGTAGTGGTCAAATTAGGTTGGAAACTAAAAATACTTTACATTCTCAGACCCCTTTGCCATCAGATGAGTCGTCGGTAAAGGACCACAGCACAGCAGGCAGAGTAGTCGCTGGTCAGATCTTTCTTGATTCAGAAGAATCAGAATTAGAATCACCTATTCAAGAAGAGGAAGACAGCCTCAGGAGTCAAGAAGCGGAAAGCGTCACAGAAGAAATCAGCTTTCTAGAATCTCCAAATCCAGAAAACCAGGACTACGAAGAACCATCGAAAGTACGGAAACAAGGTAGTCTGGGCATTTTCTTTGCTTTTGCCTGATTTAGGAAGGAGACAACTAAAATTTAAACCAGTGTAGAAAGATGCAAATGTCTGGTTTCTAATTTTGAACCATATATAATATATGAAGTGTGGTAGTATAGGATTTTCTAGATTTTTATATGTCAAACTTAATTCATTTAATGGATTTGACCCGTTACATAAGCTGAATTTAATGATCAGAATTGCGTTTGTATTACAGTAATATCCTAGCATTTCTTTTTGCACTCCAGTATATAATTATCTGTCCGCGTGGTACACAAAATAGAAACTCAATGGGGCGCCTGGGTGGCGCAGTCGGTTAAGCGTCCGACTTCAGCCAGGTCACGATCTCGCGGTCCGTGGGTTCGAGCCCCGCGTCAGGCTCTGGGCTGATGGCTGGGAGCCTGGAGCCTGTTTCCGATTCTGTGTCTCCCTCTCTCTCTGCCCCTTCCCCGTTCATGCTCTGTCTCTCTCTGTCCCAAAAATAAATAAACGTTGAAAAAAAAAAAATTAAAAAAAAAAAACAAAACTCAAGAAAGATTGTCTAATATGCTCCTCTGGTTATTTTCAGAATTGTGTTAAGATTTTTGCTACAATAACCTTCCCTGTCACCCTAGGAAATTGATGTAGGTGTTTATTCCTCTAACTGAAGCTCACATACACTTTAATTCTTTTCTAACTTTAACCTTCTTGACACCCTCTGTTTTTAAATTTACAACTTGCTCTTTCTCACAATAGAGTGTGCTAAATACCTATCCTTCTAAAATTAATTGTTAATGAATCCACTCTGCCCTGTCCCATCAGCCTCCTGTCATTTAGTTTATTATTTCAGATATCGCTACCATACCCACTTATTATTTCCATTACTAGCTACTTTTAGAAATTGATCCAGATTTGACCTTTCAAAAATACAATTTCTTTATTATAAATACCCATACTTGCAAATAGAAAAACTGTGTAAAAAAATTAAAAGCATCTTAATTCCATCAACTAGACATAACAGCTGTTAACATTATGGAGAAAACTCAGGATCTTTTCTAAATGCATAGTTTTCAGAAGACTAAAATGGGACAAAATGTATATTTTATAGCCCATATTTTGTGCCTTAACAGTTTATCTTGAACAATTTCCTTTATCATTTAGTATTCTTTTACAATGTGATGGTTAATGACTATAAAATATTTTACATGTAGTGGTGCCTGGCTGGCTCAGTCAGAAGCGCATGCGACTCTTGATCTTGGGATCCTGAATCTGAGCCCCGTGCTGGGTATTTACTTAAATAAGTAAAACTTAAAAAAAAAAAAATTGACATGTCATAAGTTGGAAATAGGTTGTTTACAATGCTTTTTGTTGGGTGACCATTTTAGATGTATCCTTGTGCACATCTATGAAAATTTTCAGAGAATTGGTTTTTTAAATATGCTGGACTAAATATAAAATTTTAAAAGACATTCGATACATACTGTTAAATTGTTCTTAGGAAAAGTAATTGTTTACTTCCTTTGAAACTGCTCCTTTTCCTGCACCTGAGCCAGTGTGTATTACCATTTTTAAGTTTTTGCCAAATACTATAGCTTAATTCATTCTTTTTTATGTTTTATAAGGGAGACTTTGAAACATGCACAAAAGTAGAGGATATAATGGGCCCCTGTACCCATCTCCCAGAGTCAGTGGCCCTCTACAATCCCATTCTTGTTGCGTCTCTGCCACCCCACACACATTAACTCTTTTCTTTCCTAGAGTATTTACAGTAAATTCCACATGTTATTTCACCTATATATGTATCTCTCAAAGTATGACTTTTTTTTTTCCAACAAAACCACTATAGTATTAGAACACCCACAAAATTAGCTGTTATTCCTTAATCACTCAATCCCCAGGCTCTCCGTTTTCCCAGCTGTTTCAAATATCTTCTTAGAAGTGATTTGTTTGAATGAGTATCCAAACTAAGATCATAGGTTTCTCTTAATCTATAACAATTCTCTCTTCCTTGTTTTTTATTTCATTTTACTTGTTAGAGAAATAATGTCCTTTGTGCTATACAGTTTCCCACATTCTGGATCTAGTTGGTCATATCCTTGTAATGTAATTTAACGTGTTCCGCTGTCTGTTGTCTAGTCTGTAAACTGGGAGTTAGCTCTACAGGCTTGGGTAGATTCAGCTCTGGTTTTTTATTGAGAATATCTCATAGCATATTGTGTACTTCCTTTTACATTGCATTGCATATAGTATCTGATTGTCCCACTTCTGGTGATGAATCAATGAAGCTGGGTGGTGTCAGCCTGATCCAGCCATGCGAAAATTCCTCACCTAGAGGTTTTGGCAACCATTTTGTTTGTTGTCTGGATTTCACTAAGAATTGCAAAGTGATGGCTTTCTAACATACAATTCTACCTGCATTTGTTATCTGGGATTCTTTTATGAAGAAAAACTTTCCCTCATCAACTATTTGGTTACCCTGAAACATAGTCCTTATAAGCAGGATAAATGCTCGAGTTTTTCCTTTGAAGTATTTTCAAATAATAACTTGGTACCCTAGTAACCTCCAAAGGAGGCCAATGAGTACATTTTTTTGTTTGTTTTTGTTTGCTTTTGCTTTGCTTCTGAGCATCATTAAAGATTTGTGGGTTTCACATGTTGGTGCTTCACGCTATTGCAATCACCCTTCTTCATTGCTCACGTGACCCCAGTTGTGCCTGTTTACAGTTCCTTTAAGTTCATTCCTTTGTTCTTTTGACTAATTGTAGGTAACTTTTAAACATTTTTTCTTTTCAGGCAGGGTAGGATGTCTTAAATTATCTTTTACATTTCCTAACCCAGAAATGAATCAGCCATCC